TAAAATAACACTTTAAAAAATAGTAACAAAATGAAAGAAAAACAAAGAAATAAAAAAAGGAGCGACCTAAGATTTATTACCTTAAAACATTTAGAAAAGAATAGGAAAAAATACATTTATTAACGTTTATAGATGAAATATTGGATGAAATGTCCCCTTCTAGTTATTACAACAAAATGTAAGGACCTCTGCTGCCTTTTTGAAAATAGAGGGACCTGAGAGTTATTTCAACAAAACTCGCGTCACCCATGAGTAATTTTCTGATGAAATATTGGATGAAATGTCCCCTTCCAGTCATTACAACAAAATGTAAGGACCTCTGTTGTCTTCTTGAAAATAGAGGGACCTGAGAGTTATTTCAACAAAACTCGCGTCACCCGCGAGTAATTTTCTGGTTGATAAATATACTCTTATTATTTAATATTGACGAGAAGAGTGTTTATCCACACACACACAAAAACACTTATTTTTTAATTTTTTTTTGTTTGAAAGCCTAACATTACAATACATTAAAAAATTCTTAGTGCAATTCAAAAACAAACGAATTGAGGACTACATATGCATTTGATTTTAGGGCATACCAAACGCGGTGCAAACTGTTTTTTTCATTCCCATAAAAAAAGTCAATGCTAATTGGAAGGAGTAAACTGTCTATTTTGCCCTTCACTTGAAAAACAACATGAACAAAACCATCAAAGTTGTGGCCATACAACCCCCCCGACCTAACGGCCACCGCCCCTCCCTTGACCCACCGGAACTTGTCGGAGGTGCATGGTTCCTCCGCCTCCTCCGCCGCCGCCGCCGCTTGCTCCGGCTTCCCCCGTGAGATGAAAACGAACCCCTTAGGCTCCGTGCATGCGGCGATTGAAATGGCGCCGCCGAACCTTTGGCGTCCAACGCTCCCTCGCCGCCACGCTTTGTCATTTCTAGGCCGCTAAATCTCGCCGGAGACGTTTCCTTGTCGGCTAAAATCTCGTAGCATTGGAAGGAACATAACACCAACGTTAATATGGATGTTCCTAATAGAGTTTTACTTTTTGCCATTTTCCGGTGACCGGAGAACGGGAGAAGACATGCATGCATGCAGCCGGGGAAGGACAGGAGAAACAATTTATATTAATGGATATCATATTTCTATAATAATAATAATAATAGATAATGTCTAATTTAATAGACGTTGTGGCTATTATCGCTCATTGTATTATGAAGACAAGAATTTTAATGGCTATATGTTAAAATTAAAGTATATAACCAATTTAAAAAACGTAGATAATCTAAATTAATTTGATAACACTAATTACTTGCAAGAACTAATTAAATAATCTAAAATACAACAAACTTTGATGAAATCTTCATACATATCTTCAATTTCTAGTAAAATAAAATGCAAAATCAAAGATCTTATTGCAAAGATATATAGTAATAGTAGCACCGTATAACAAAAAACAACATTGGTATCCCAGAAAAAAAATAGTACAATGATAATAACAATCATAATCTGTAACAATAATAGTAATATCTCAACCCAAAAATGCTACGGAGTATAACTGAAGGAGCAGAGTCACCTTATGATCACTCACAAGTTCAGCAAAACTTAATTTTAACAATGCACTGGGATTTTTTCTTTTTCTTTTTTTTTTTTGAAAAATAAAAAAAAAAGAACTAGTGAAAATATAAAAAAAACACCACGGTCACGACAAGGATGCTTGACCATGGTCGTGCCGCGTTTAACCGCGGTTGAGAGACCAAAATCCACTGCAACTGTTTTTCTCCCCCTTAAAAAGACGCAAATACCCCCCCCCCCCACCCGCCCCTGCCCGCCTCGATAAACATACAAAAATCACCCCGCAAGCTTACAGCTCCAGCTCCAAAAGCCTTGAGGTATATATTCTGCTCTGAGACAGCAAGGGCAATTCCGTCATGCAACAAAATAAACGGCTTACTGGAGCAATATCCGGCATGCCTCGACATCCGTTGCATGCGAATCCAAAACCGCGTTCCCAGATGGACTTGAATCCAAAACCTTCATCACAGAACTGAACACATCTTTTTGGTAGAGGGTGTCCCCAACTTGCTTTAAAATCTCTTGGAGAAGGGAGAAGTTTAACCCGCCGGACAAAATGAGTCTCCCAATGATGCCCCCAAAGTTGGTTGGGGCTTTTGGCAAGTCAACGGCAAGATCGTCCAATAAAGAAGCGAAACTTGTGAAACCGGTTCCCAAAACCGTGGAATCGAATACCTTTTTCTCAAACAAGTACTGGAGAAGCTTAAAGACCGGTTCAACGCACGGCGGGCTTTTGTCCAGTCCAAGGGAGACGGCTTGCTTGACAACCTCAGGATGGTAGGCAGGGGATTTCAGCTCCTCAATGCACTGTAAAGCTTCATCCAATATCCTGACGCCGAAATATTCCTCAAGAAGCGCATTAGTTTTCCTCTTGAGTTCCTCAGGACTAAATCTGGCTGCTGCTGGTGCAGGCAGTGGTTGTTTGGTGGGGCCCGAGATCTGGGGACGAGTGTGAGAAGGGGCCCCACTGCCTTGCAAGAGAGCGCTGGTCCTACCGCTGATGAGGTCACTGCCGGCCCCTGGAGAAAGAAGTGTTTGGTTTGATAACGGTAGCTTGCTGACGAGCGGCGGAGGAGGGCCCCGCACCATTGACCCATCACCTCTTGGCATTGACCGGTTTCGTTGGAACTCCCAGGTGTCCTCGAGTCCAGTAAACGAAGAAACCTTCCTTGCCCCAGGTGCCCCAGGCGCCCCGGGCATGCGGTTAGGGACGAAACTGACCGGGCTTTGAGGACTGGGAGCAGTGACCCCTCTTGGATTCCTAATACTTGCTGTAGCACCAGGACGTAACCCCAGATTTTTCTCAGCTTCCGTGTGAATCTCAGTAATAGTTTTGGCTTTCACCTAAAAGAATATAAATATATTTAGATAGTATCAATTAAAAGAATAATTATCAATTGTATCTACCTCCTCAAGATAGGGTAAAACTACCAAATGACCCTTGAGGTTTTAAAAATTACTCGTCAGATTTTCCAGGAACAGCCATTTCAACAAACAGAATAGAATTGAATAATATTAACAAACACTTGAACTTTCAGATCAAATGTGGTATTAAAGTATGTTATCAGCTTGAACATGTAAAGATTCTCTCAAAAAAATATTGAGAAATGAGAATAATTTGTTCCGTAAAATGCATGGTATCATATTCAACGTTGTTTGGGGAGAAAAAATAGTGAGGGGTTATTTGTAATTTTCAAAACCATAGAGAGCTGAGGGCCATAGATACTTCGACACAACTTCAGTAGAGGTTGATGAAAATAATCATAGGCAAAACAGGGGAGTAAATGATAGATCACCTCCTCACGCCGTGGGACCCATTTGTTCGCACGCATGTCAAGAACATCACGAATCATGAACCTAAGCCGTGGAGCAAGTTGATGATTGGTGGAGAGTGCCTTCAGCTGGTTGAAGTACATGTCGTTAATAAACCGCGACTTACGGTTCTCATCAAGTTGTTTGCCAATGGTGGTGAAGAAGTGGCAGATTGCTTCAACATTTTCCTCTTCCGGACAGCTTTCAGGGTCTGCACCTAACAGCTCCTACAGTAGGATATAACACCCATGTTAGATAAGGTGAGAGCAATACTGACGATGACATTGATAACCAGAGGGGATCATCCAAAAATTGTATATTCCCCATGTTCTCTTATAAATGTCATTTTAGGTGTTCACCCAGACATTGAAGAAACAATAATGAGAAGTTTTGTCGCGGCCATCATAAGAAAGAGTTATGAGATAAAAATCCTTAATCCATCATTATAGGTTATTTCGACTCGCATAAAAAAATACCATGGGAAAGGCTATGAGAAAGAGAGCAGAGGTTGTCGATAGTTCATGGAGGGGAAGAGGAAACAAACCCGAACTATATGATGAACAATCTTTTCGGGAACCATCCTTTGTTTCAAGAGCTCACCAATAAGACGCATATTCCCAAGAGTGCGCAGCTTAATCAACTTTTCTTTATCTCTGCGTTCAGATTCCTGCTCGGGAGCAGTCATTTGTCGCGCCTCTTCCCTCAACTTGTCAGACCCTTCAAAAGCTTCCTGGCAATTATCCAGTAGCAATCTCCTAAATGTTATGTCTTTGCCCCCAGGCTCTTCAGACGGGAATGGAGGCAACTTGTCATTCAGATCAGAGCACAGTTGGGCATACATGGTGCAAAACGTGGGCTCCAGTATAGCCTTCTCAAATATTAAGCCAATAACCCCCTGAAGATCACAAAAACTAAGTAAGCATCAGTTAATAGAATGCAGAAAAAAGACAACAGAAAACTTTGTGCTTTGGGAAAATGAATTAGAGAAAATGAGCTGTGGAGAATTGAAGAATAAAAACTTAGAAAAAAGAGGCTTGGGAAAACCTTCAAAATGTCAGCAGATGTTATCCCAGAATCAATTAGTTGACCTTTTAGGAGATCAAATTTTTCTGGGGTCAACTTGTTAAGTATCCTGCAATATCATTTAAAACTTGATTAGTTACTGCAATTATTGTGAACAAAAAGTGTTTTTTCTTGATAAAACAAAGAATATTAAAAAAGCCATGCAGAAAAAAAGAGAAACATTAACCATAAATACTTCCTAGAGATTTGGGTTTGCAGTTGAAGGCTTTCTAAAAAACATCCTCTACTTCATAAGGAATTGGATAAATCAATGGGAGCTAAGAGAGTCATTGAAGACATTGTTTTAGCTTAGGGTAAACAATGCACTACATAAAAATAGCACATTAAACTTCTGTTGCTGATTAAATAACAACCGCATATCATCAAATGAAAGATATAAATCAATGAATTACCCCTTCACTGTTTTCAAAACACGTTCTTTGTCAGAGAGAGTGCCTCGTCTTGCTGACCATGGCACCTCAGCTTTGAGAAGGGCTGGGGTAGGTCCTCCCTGATTCCAACACAACAAAAGTTTCTCAGTCACAACACAATGTGACCTAAAGGGTTGCATGGCACACATTTTATCAGCCAAAGTTGAACTTCACACAGTAAGCAGAACATATTAATGTACACAATATTTTCAAAGGTGGTAACTTTACTTGAGTAGAACACAATGAAATTAGACTCAAGTTGTAAAAATAAATAGGTTCCAAAAGCCTAGAGTAATTATGAAGCACAAATGAAATGGTTACCGCTTGGTTGGGAGAGATCTGGGATCTACCAAACTGTGAGTTGAGTTCTCCCATCTTAATACCAAGTTCCTTGTTCTCTTTCATAGATTCCCATGACCTCTCATCTTGGGGAGCAGAAAACTGCGGGTTCCTATTGCGCCAGTCACGATTGTCAGGCTCAGCATAACGACTCTGGGGTTGAGTTTGCAACTGCAGTAGGGTTGAAGTAGAGTTGGGTTATCGCAAAATAAATGAAGAACCATATCATTGAAACATAGCAATCACCAAAAAGAAATAAGGTAGGGGCAACAAATTTACATCAATTCTGGCAAAGACTCACATTGGTTTCTCCACGACCATGATTGGCATCTTCACCAAATAATTCGGCTTCAACTTCTTGTTTAGCTTTCAGGATACCCTCTGGAATGTCGCCTACCTGGTAAAAAAGTTCATATCAGCACCAAATAATAAAATAGTAATAAAGAAGTTCATGTCTCTTAAATGTTGAGTGGAGAGAAAAACAAAATAGGCTAAGAGATAACATGTGAAAACCCATACAAAATACATGCCCCATACCTCATCCCTCACTCTTAACAGCTCTTCACGTGTATACCGAATGCGTTCCTGACCCTCAAATCGAGACTCCCCAGCCTAAAATGAAAAAAAATTATGAGATCAGAAAAGAATTTCTGAAACTACACACCTTGAAGGTTTTATTGATATAGATCTTTAACAATATAAACTACTCAGCCATCTGCTAAAACAAAAATAAAAGGAATTGAGATAACTATGTGTCAATGATAAAACCCAATCGCCTCTTAAATAGAGGGTTATTATGGCCATCACAAGATGTGACTTTATAGTCATTAACTACCATTAAACTATCATGGTTGGGTAGCTAAAGATTCTGAGTACTGCATAGCCACTTAGACACCTATATTTAAGCATTTTACTATCAGAAACGAGTTGGGAGATAGCCATGTCAGTAGAGATCTTTAAGGGCAATAAATGCTCATTACAAGCCCTCCTAAATCCTACTACTTGCTCTACGTCCCTATTTACAGCAGATACAAAACACAAGTGCACTGCTAAGAATTAGGACGACCCACAAACACATTTCAGTCAACCATGATACAAAAGCATGGTTGGGGAAGCAAAAAAAATTTGCAGAAAATTCTCTATGTATGGGACATTTAAGGGAAATAAATAATCCTTGTGTGCCTTTCGAACACCTACTACTTTCTCTACAACAAGAACAGAGAATAATCTCAACTCTGTTGGGGTCTGAGGGTCAAGATGTACGTAGTCTTACCCCCTATAAAACATCGAGGTTGTTTCCATTAGTCCCTAGATGGATAGTTGCACTTAGTAAACCAAAACATCAAAGAAAGTAAGAAGCAAGAGAAATTTAATGTCCAAGTTGAAATTTAGTCCATTATGCGCCTTAAACAAAAACCATTTTCAATAATGACTCTACTAGCTCTGTGTCCATATTTATAGCAGATATGCAGATAAAGTGTGCTTCCAAGAAGTAGGACTTTGGTGAAAAATGATGGAGATGTACAAAAACTTTGTGCAAAAAAATCCCATGTGCTTAGGGATCCTTAAGGGCAACAAATACTCATTGCATACCCTCATAGAGCATGTTATTTGCTCTACTGGTTTTATGTCAGGTACACATCTCGAGTGTGCTTCCAAGAATAGAACTTCAGCCGGCCACACAATATCAGAGAAACAAAACAATATTCTACATAAAATTCCATGTCTGCAGGATCTTTAAGAGCAATAAATACTTCATAGCTGCCCTCCTAAAGCCTACTATTCAATCTGCGTCCATATTTACAGCAGATACACATCTCTTAAGTGTGCTGCCAAGAATTAGGACGGTACCATAAACACCATTCAGTCAATCATGATAAGCAAGTAATACTGAATACATAAAAGTGTTGGTACTAGTACCAGCATGTGACGGGATCTTTATATTACTTGGTAATTCCACAAAACAGAATGCACACAACATAAAGATATGAACTTTAATTATGTAAAAAGTGGGCAACAATCACTTCAGCAGTCTCTGCCAAATTTTAATCTTGGCTTGGCTATACACATCCCAAATAACTTAGAACTGTTAGAAGTCAAAGGAGAGTGAGTGCATTTGATTTGAACCCGTTCTATCAATATCGGAATTGATATCAAATGTAAGTACATACAAATAGCTAAGTATGCGTTTACACTGTGTGGGTTTGGGAAACTAAGATGTGGGTTAACTGCGAGGCCTGTACAAATCTATGGATGCACGAATCAGCTATAACAAATGTAACTTGAAGATGCCGCTCAAAGATTAGAACTTTACTACTCTAAAATTAATTAATCGGGAAAAAATCAATGAATCCATATAGATACAAGAATATATCGGGGAAACAATAGGATACAGCTGAGAGCGAGACCCCAGATCCGCGGAACAGAGAAAAAGAATCGACCTTGAATGAAGAGAAAGCAGAGGAACCGCCATGGGGGCGAAGCAGAGAGAGATCAGAATTGGTTGACAACAAGGAGGAATCAAAGCGAGGGGCGAGCAGTCTACTTCCACCTCGGTTTCCGCCGCCAGGTCTCAAGCTTAATCCCGCCGCCGGATCAGTCTGCATAACTCAATACTCCGCTATTGGAAGAGGGGAAGGAAGAATCGAAACCTAATCGGTGTATAGATACAGATCCGGGGGTATGTATATGTAACAGTTCAATAGAAGATAAGGTTTAAAGGGGAGAGAGAGAACTAATGAATTATTGAATTTCCTCCATCTGCTGGAAAGAGAAAGAGGAACGAGGAAGAAGAGAAGGTGCGGGCAATGGGGTTTGAAGAATATATGTATGACGAGTCGGCGAGGAGAGAGAAAAACCCTTTGGAGGATGTTACGCCTTGTAATTCTTGTTTGTCTCGGGGACTTTTTCGCCAATTACAAATTTGTGTGTTAGAATAGGGGTGAACACAACTCCGAAATCGGACCGGACTAAATGGGAATCAGAAAAAATGAAAAATCCGAATGAGTAAAGGGTAGGGCCGGAACCCAGACCTTAAAATCAATTTTTTCTGATCTGATCCGATTTTAGACCGCCTCAAATTGTTACAACATAACTTTGTTTGAATTTATTTCAACCCTAATTTTGTTTTTCTATCCATTTGGCTTGTTTCAAGAAAATATATTAATGTAAAATACTTTCATCAGTGATGGATATAACTGGTACCACCCGGCAAGTTCACAAACGCCCGAGGGTACCGAATTCTGGCCCCGCCTGACGTCACCAACCCTGGGAGACTAACTAGGTGGATGTCACAAGCGCCTGAGAGATTCGAAGGCTGACCCCACATGACCTCACCAACCCGGTAGACTGACCGGGTGGATGTCAGGGTCAGACATGTGAGATCGTGACTTCATTCGCATAAGACTTAAAGTATGACCAGGCTTGACCTCATCGTCGCCGTTAATCTAGTGGATGTTGGGGGTCAGACCGGTAAGATCATGACTTGAAGACTGCCGGGTGGATGGCTTGAAGACTGCCTGGGTGGATGGCTTGAAGACTGGTCGGCTTGAAGACTGTCCGATGACTTGAAGACTGCCCGGGTGGATGGCTTGAAGACTGCCCGGGTGGATGACTTGAAGACTGACTGGCCGGAAGAATAGTAACGTCGGGACGTGCTTGACGTGCTTGTTCTTTATTATAAATATGACTAAAAGCCTCATTTGTGAAGCATGCTTTAATTAATTCCCACGGCTTGTAACTTTGTAATCGGTCCCTACATTATTAATAACTACTCGGGTTACAGGTATATCCACCTACAACCCTTCCGCTTTTCGTAACTTAGCATTACGGTGGTTTTACACCATCAATCAGCAATATGATAAATTAAAAATGGATTTTTAGTTTTGTTAGTTTGTAGAATATATGTATAAATGATATTACTATAAAGTTGTACTTTAAAGTTTTTCTTTCAAGAATAAGTAACATGTCAAAATATTTAAAGCTCAATTATAAATAGTAATGAAAATAAAAAATAATACATATTACATTTAAAGAATATACATGAGTCAACACAAATAATGAAAACATAAAGTTGTATTTATAATCAAATATTATAGGTATCAAAAATGAAAAAATAGAATATTTACATTCCAGCATTACTGGTCCGATGGAAATTTTCCAGTCTTGAACCATAATGGACCAGAATTGTACAGGTCCTTGATCTTTAGACCAGTAGAATTTTACCGATCTCGCATAGAACCAGTTTTTCCGGTCTGATTTTGCGGTCTAACTCAAATTTTGTACATTTTTATGATAGATAGACTATGAACTACTCTCACGATAATCAAGTGTCAGATTGATCTAAAAAAAGTAATTCATATGTTCTCAAAAATACTTCTTCTTTTATTTTTTCCATTTACAACAAAAAGCTTCCACTTTCTATTAAAAATCACTTTTACTCTTACCTTTTCATATCCTACCTATCACATCATATTTTTTCTCTAATAATCTATCTATTATATCTTACTTTTACCCATCACATCAAAGACAAAATTTGAAGTCAACTACAATCTAACTCGTATTAAAATTTATTGAATTAGAGAAATGAAAAAGTAATGAATTGTACCAAATCAAATAACGAGGTTGGTACTTGGGAACAATATTACCATTATTCTCATATTGAAAATCTTGTATTTGGGTGGGAAGTAATTATTGTCATCTCTACTCTCTCACAATCGTCATTACGTTGTTGTTGTTGTTGGCAAAGGGGGGTTTAGAAAATGTGTGACTCATGGAGTCATTTATCTACAAAAATTCAATATTTCACAATCTGTGTGTTGATGATAAATATGTATTTTCATAGATTATTTGCTAAAATAAAATAGACATTTCACTACTTGTTTTATACGAGTCTAACTTTTCATGTATTTCGTAGTTTTTAAATATGTAAGTTTTATTTTTTATTTCAATATTAATTTGTAAATAAAATTGTATAAAAAATATGAGATTTTATATATTGTTCGAAGAAGACAAAAAATTTGGGCGCATGGAGTATCTTTGATTGATTTCAAAAGATTTAGATTACAATCCCATTTTTTTTGAATATTTAGTTAAAATCTAAAATTTTATTTCTCAAATCTAGAAAAATTTTAAAGAAATTAATAGACACTTTCTACATACTTTTTTGTTCAAAGTAGTTTTGGAATGAATAACTCGTTTTAGTAGTTGAAAACAGAGTCTCGACGGTGGGTGTTGCGCAATTAGTAAGGTAAGATGTGCCTCATTGACTCGATTCTTGACAACTACGCAAGGATGTAACTATGTTAAAATAGACTTTTGCAAGTATTATGTGTTGGGCTTCATTTTTTGCCACCAATCGGTGATTAAAGTCTAATTTATTTATTCTCATATTATTGATCAGCCGATTCTGAAGAGCCCTCGAAATTGAGATTCACCTCTTTTTGGGAAAGAGTCTTAATTGAATTTTAATCCTAACTACTACCAAATGATTCAAGTTTCTCAAATAAATCCAAATTAGAGCCTTGATCAAATTCACTATGTAACAAAAGAGAAACAATAATTTGCACGAAGTAATTTCTTACCTTTAGATTTGAGACTTGAGAAGTAGAGTGACAAGGGACACAATCAAAATTGATAAACATTAATTATTAATGAAATAAATTTTTATTATATATCGATACAAAAATAACATTATTAATATAACATGTAATTTTTATTTAACTATAAGTATCAATCAGAGTTGTCTATAAAAATTAAAATTACACAAATATTATGAGACAAACAAAATGTAAACTTAAAATATAACGATGTTTGAGGCGTCAAAAGGAAAAAATGTACCCCAACTTGGGCGCGATGCTTGCCATAATAAAAGTATATGTTTATTCAGAAAAGATAGCCTCCTTAAACTAGCTTTCCACTCCTTTGCTATAAAAGTACTCTAGGCGCAGACAAAAGTGAGAATTGAACTTGAGACGCTACAGTTGTCCAAAATAATTGTTGTTATCGCTTTACATTTTTATATATTATAGTCTTTTCTATACATAATACTATAAATACTTACATCAATGTTCTTGAGTCTTGAGACTCCGTGGGACTCAACGTGTGTCCACATCTACTTGTTGGGCCCAAGCCCCTCTGTCTTTGCCCCAGTTTTCTAACTTGATAAAGTGGTGTTCCTTCATCTTCTAGGTGTTTAAATACTTGGTCCAAATTCTATTTTTAAGTGTTAATATTTCAAACATTTGATTTAGGTCTTTAGAGCTGTCGCTTTGCCATGTTGTTCTTTGCTTTGAGAAGACGAGAAGTTGGAAGTGTGGCTTTCATTACCGTTGTTACATGGACACACCACCACCTTTTTCATTGGTTTCCAACTTCCCTTGGCTTGGATAATTCAATTTCTGTATTGTTCAAGCTCAAGCTACATTTCAAGTGCAACGGGACGCGATGATGAGATCAGAGACCTCATCGAAGATGGTAGAGAGGATCCAACATTGTAAAAGAGCATCAAATTGGATTTATTCTATGCTGTCATCTCCGGTTGGGGTCACAATATTTGAGGTAGTCATAGAGGTTTAAGCAATGAATAAAGATAAGGAATAAGTGACTTTATTATTTGTAGTTAGACTCAGAGATGTGAAAAGGTCTGGAAAAATGTAGTTGATATTTGATATTATAGTGAAAGGTAGATAAGGAGAGTTAGTGGTGACACCACTGGAAGAGGGTGGTGGATGTCGATGCAATAAAAATAAGAGAAGATCAGAAGCCATGGCAAGAAGACCATAGGAGTTTGTTAACCTTAATTAGTTTAAAATAATTTATTCTTTCATCTAGTTCAAAATTACATCTAACATTTTTTCTAAATTTAACATTGTTTATTGGTTAAAAAATGTCACATTCTAGTCCAACACGACTGTTACGGGATTATTATTATTATTATCATCATCATTATTATTAGTATTATTAGTATTATTATTATTATTATAGGTAAGGTATTATATATGGTTAGTTAATTAAGATTAGAGAATATTATTTTTGTTAGGTTATTAATTAGTTTCTTATTTTATTTAGTTTCTTTTATGGATTGGTGTAAAAATTTAGAGTAAAACTGATCTGATTTTATTAATCACAAGCAAGTGTATATATACAAGTACAAGCGGGCTTAGGGTTATAAGTTGGAAGTGGGCCCGATAAACTAATTACAGTCCAAAACTACAAATACCCGCTAACACTCCCCCTCAAGTTGGCGCATGAAGATCCAGAATGCCCAACTTGCACAGCAGAAAATCAAAACTGGGTTTCGCTAGAGGTTTGGTAAAAATATCGGCTAACTGATATCTCGTCGGGACATATCGTGTCGAGACTTCATGCCGCTGGACACTCTCTCGAACAGTGTGACAATCTACATCCACATGCTTCATACGCTCATGAAAAACAGGATTCGCTGCAATGTACAACGCGGACTGATTGTCACAATACAATCTAGGAGGATACAATATAGGCACGCCCAAAGCAATAAGAATCCCTCGCATCCAACGTATCTCTACACAAGCATTAGCCATAGCCCTGTACTCTGCCTCTGCAGACGACCTAGAGACAGTAGTTTGTTTCTTCGTTTTCCATGATACTGGAGACGTACCCAACATGATAAAATACCCGCTAACAGAACGACGAGACAATGGGCAGCTAGCCCAATCGGAGTCACAATACGCCGAGATCTGGAGATTACTGGTGGCGCTCAGAAAAATACCTTGACCAGGATGACCCTTGATGTAGCGAAGAACACGCATAGCTGCGTTCAT